ATAATATAATATAATATAATATAATATAATATAATATAATATAATATAATATAATATAATATAATATAATATAATATAATATAATATAATATAATATAATATAATATAATATAATATAATATAATATAATATAATATAATATAATATAATATAATATAATATAATATAATATAATATAATATAATATAATATAATATAATATAATATAATATAATATAATATAATATAATATAATATAATATAATATAATATAATATAATATAATATAATATAATATAATATAATATAATATAATATAATATAATATAATATAATATAATATAATATAATATAATATAATATAATATAATATAATATAATATAATATAATATAATATAATATAATATAATATAATGTTCAATAGTTTGGGTCAGTGAGATTTATTAAGAAACATTTACTAATTAAAATGAATTAAAAAATGTGTTTAAAATATTTGTCAAATTAATTACGTAAATTATGTCAAATAAATTACATTTTCTATTAATCTATTTCTGTTCATCAACACTGATAATAACAGTGTTAATAATAATTGCAGCTATTTTAAACTAATATTATGTCACAATTTTACTGTTTTTGCTGTGTTTCTGATCAAATAAATGCAGCCTTGGTGAGCATAAAATCTCAGTCTTTTGAATAACATAACATATATTTCAGTTTAATAATTTCAAGTGTAAAAAGCTCAATGGAGGCAACTGCGTTTGTATCCCAAGGTGCATCTGGTCTTGCAATCATCCGACCTAATGACTCTAACATGGTGGATGCCCAGACTATCACAGGCACATCTATTTTAAACGGCTTCTTTTATTATATTTCTTGGAAAGCTGAGTTAAAATCATATCCAAGTGCAATTAACAGTCCTGTTTTATACTTGACACATGCTGCTAATCACAGTATGTATAAATAAACATGAAAAAATGTATATCATTTTACACAGCAATATGCACACACATGAATAAACATTTATTTACAGTCTTCTATAAATAGTTCTGTTTATCTAACGCACAAAATGATCGGTTTCATATTCTGCTGAATGCTAAGGTGTCACTCCTGGGGTTTGCAGAAGAATTTGTTCAAAGTTCTTTCTGTCTCACTCTAATGGTGGAGTGATTGAAGAAGCACTCAAATGAAACTTCACAGGCAAGCTCAGCACCATTCAGTGGAATGTAGCCACCCTCTCATCGCCAGATGTGGCCTTTTACATGCACGCACACTGAATGGTTTCAGACTGATATGCATTTTCAGACCTGAATAGCAGCGAGCCTTTGATCGCACCTGCATGCTAGAGAATGACTGTGACTCCCTCCGACTGTTTGCAGTTCAGCTGTGGCTTCCCTCTCTCCGCTGCTGTCGCTGTGAAGCGAGGGATCAACTCCAGAGACATGTCGCCAAGGAGACACATGAAAGGCTCTATACATACGCATTACGCCCTTGTGCGCACCCACGCATACATATGTGCATGAAAGAGGTCTCCCGCACAAGACTGGCAGCACTGATACCACATACATTACTTTTGAAGGCTTAGTTTATTAAAAAAATATTTACATTCTGACATTCTTTACTCACACTCATGTTGTTCAAATCCTGTGGGGCATGTTTTTTTTCTTCAACTGAACAGAAAGGAAGATATTTTGTCTTGGCTAATTTCTTCCATAAACACTACAAAATAGTTTGGAATAATTAAGTTTTTTTTATGTTTTTGAAAGACAGTTACAGTAAAATGTATAAAATAATAAATTGTGAAATAATATTACAATTTAAAAGAACAATTCTTTAGTTTAATTTATTTTAAAATGTAATTTATTCCTGTTAAGCAAAGTTGAATTTTCAGCATCATTACTCCAGTCTTCAGTGTGACATGATCTTTCAGAAATCATTCTAATATGCTGATTTGCTGCTCAATTATTAATAATGGTTCTTACTGTGATCAATTTGAGTAAATACATTTACTTAATATTTTTGTGGAAACCATTTTTTAGGATTCTTTGATGAATAAAAAGTTCAAAAGCACAGCATTTATTTGAAATAGAAATCTTTTTTTTATTATAAATGTATTTACTCTCACTTTAGATCCATTTAATGGGTAATGGCAGAATAAAGGCATTAATTCTTTTTTCTTTTCTTTTTTTTAATCTTACTTAATCTTACAAGAATCTTACAAACTGTTGAATCAATGGTAGTGTATCATGGTTTCCACCAAAAATATAAAAAACAGTTTTCAACATTGATAATAATAAGAAATGTTTCTTGAGCAGCAAAACAGCATGATTTCTAAAAGATCATGTGCCACTAAATACTAAAGTAATGATGCTGAAAATTCAACTTTGCACCACAGGAATAAATTACATTTTAAAATACTGTATATCAAAATAGAAAAGTTATTTTAAATTGTAATAATATTTCACTTTTTTATGTATTTTTGATGAAATAAACACAGCCTTAGTGAGCTTAAGGACTTCATTCAAAAACATTTTTAAAAAATCATAAATATTCCAAACTTGTCTAGTTGTCCAATATTGTAATGAAAGTAAATGGAGCTGTCAAAATGTTAAACAAAAATACAACATAACAGTATCATAAAAAATAGTCAACATGAATTTACAATACTTTTATACTACTTTTCAAGTCCCCAGGTGAACTGTTCCTTTAATCCAGTATCTCCTTCTCTCCATCACTTCTCTAATCACGCGGAACATTCTCCCTTGCTTGTATCACCGTCATCTGCCTCTAAGCACTAACAACTCAACAATGACTCATTAGCTGGGTGAATAGACAGATTGGCACAGAGAGAGCAGTGCCACAGTCATACCCAGCATGCCCAGCAGCGCTACAGAGTGGAGCATTAACCCCATACTGAGCCCTGAGGAGAGAGGAATGACTGCAGATTAACTTTATGTGCTTTTTACTGAAGCGCCTGCAGCAAAATGCAATGGCCGAATGCTGAGCTCACACCAGTCAGCTCTTAGTCTGAGAGTGAATTGTGCTCTATTAAATGGACTTTTCATTTGCAATTCAGTGCCTGAATTTGAATTGCAGTAGCAAACAGATGTAGGAATGTAAATTAAATTTGAATTTAAGGAAGTAATGTTGCATTCATGAAATTCAAATAAATTCAAGCTGTTTTAAGTGTTGTTTTTAATAATACTGTTTTGTATTTGACTGTATAAATTTCCCACATCAAA